GCATTCAAGTGGATTTTCCCCATGTAAATTCTATTTTGAAGAAAGAGCACATAGGTCTGTAGGTGTAAAAAATAAAGGATAGAAGTAATAGAAAGTAGCAAAATGGTTAGTTTAAGTTGATGAAAAATTGGATAGTAGAATTTTATAGATATATTTCATTCAACCCAATTTTAGATCTAGATAGGATGCCATTAAATATAACTCACAGGTACTGTATTCTAAGGAAATTATGGAGGATAGCAGGAGAACTTGGCTAAAATATTTTTCTATTCTCAGCTTCAAGAAATAGGAATTACCCTATTATAGGTTTTTTTTTTTTTACCTTTGTCCTTTTGGAGTTTTTACATTGACCTAGTCAGCAAAAATCAATACTGTGTTCAGTTGGAATTTCAGCTCTACAAACTGTCTTCAGTCCATCTTCAGCACCTTTTTCTCCCCCTGAAATCTAATAGCCGTCAAGTACAAGGCTGGTTTAATAACATCTGTTCCCTCTGAATTACTGGAGAGAAGTATTGATATAGCCATATTGTCAAGAAGTAATTTTAATCATGTTTTGACAGGGCAATTTTTTACCACAGCATTGTCAGTAAAATGTTTATGTTAGTTCACTGTTATTATCATTCATAGTGGTATGTTAAAACATAGCACATGTGTTGGAGATGAAAGCAGTACTTAAGGTTTTATGATTTAGTATTTATGGGAATTCCTTTGCAGATTGTCATCTCCTCCAAAGGATAATGGCATCCTGTGGTCTTGTCATCAAGTGCAATTTTCTTCTAATAGCTCTAGTGATTAAACCACAAACAAAACTATTTTCCATAGTTTGGTTGTTCTTTCCTCCCTCAGCCTTAGAGAAAGTTAATAGTACCTATTGGGGGATAGCGTTAAGAACCTCAGACCAGTGTGTTAAGATTCTGTGTGGTTTCCTTTTATGAGATAATTTTGTAATTGCATGCTAAATACAACTGCATCGCTTCAGTTTTTAAAAAAGCAGGTGTGTCAAGAAAGGCTTTTTTTCACAACAAGGAAATAACATGAGCCCTTAATACTTAAGGTTTAGTCAAATTATGACCCCCAAGATGATGCAGATAACTTTTTCATGCAATGAGGAAACAGATAATTGTAGCTTCTTTTGCCTGTTTCTAAAGAGATTCTGATATTTTCTCTCCCATATACATGCACCTGTCACTTGTGGAGACAGGGAGAAAAACAGTAGGAAGAACAACAAGACTGTGATCCAGGCTTGTCACAGCTAGTTATGGAAGAAAACAGGATGAAGAAAAACAAGAAGAGATGAAGGGAGAAGTTGAAATTGCAGCCATCTCATTTTTCCTTATTGCAGGATATATAGAGCTGCATATATTGTGTCTAGGTTGCATATATTGTGTCTGTCATCCCCTTCTTCTATTGCCCTCGATCTTTCCCAGCATTAGGTTCTTCTCCAGTGAGTCCTTCCTTCTCATTAGGGGACCAAAATATTTGACTTTCAACTTCCGGATCTGGCCTTCTAAAGAGCAGTCGGGGTTGATCTCTTCTAAAACTGACCGGTTTGAATGCCTTTCAGTCCAAGGGACTCGCAGGAGTCTTCTCCAGCACCATAGTTCAAAGGCCTCAAATTTTTGGTGCTCAGCCTTTCTTATGGTCCAACTTTCACAACCATACATTGCAACTCGGAAAGCCATGGCCTTGACTATACACACTTTTGTTGGCAGGGTGATGTCTTTGCTTTTTAGTATGCTGTCTAGATTTGCCATAGCTTTCCTCCCCAGGAGCAAGCGTCTTTTAATTTCTTGGCTTCAGTCCCCATCTGAGGTGATCTTGGAGCCCAGGAAGATAAAATCTGTCACTACCTCCATTTCTTCCCCATCTATTTGCCAGGAATTGAGAGGGCCGGATACCATGATCTTGGTTTTCTTAATGTTGAGTTTCAAGCCAACTTTTGCACTCTCCTCCTTCACTCACATCAAGAGGCTCTTTAGTTCCTCTTCACTTTCTGCTATTAGGGTGACATCATCTGCATATCTTAGGTTGTTGATATTTCTCCCGGCAATCTTAATTCCAACTTTTGATTCATCTAGCCCTGCCTTTCTCATGATGTGCTCTGCATATAAGTTAAATAGGCATGGCAACAGTATACAGCTTTGCCGGATTTCCTTTCCCAATTTTGAACCAATCAGTGGTTCCATGTCCAGTTCTCACTGTTGCATCTTGACCCGCATATAGGTTTATCAAGAGACAAATAATATGGTCTGTATTCCCATCTCTTTATTAGATTTATACAATTTCATATGAACCCAAATATAACTACAGGGAATCCTAACTTATAAGTGGTAATTGGAACCAAGAGCACTATTGTAGAAGTGATCTGGTCATAACATGACCATGCTAATTGTACAGTGGCACTGTGCCAGCAGTACCAGCTGTTGTTATTAGGTGAATCTTGCAGTCTCAGTGTCCCATGGTCACATGATTGCCATTTGTGATAATCTGTTTCCTTCTCCATTGATTTTTCTTGTCAGAAACTGGCAGCGCAAGTTGCAAATGGCCGTTGCACGCTTCAGCGTTGTAATTGCAAGTTATGTGGCCGTTGCACGCTGCAGCATTGTAATTGCAAGTCAGTTGCCAAGCTGAGTTACAGTCATGTGACCAGACTGAAGGTGCAATGGCTGTAACTACCGGGACCTCTTGTGAGCCCCCCTCATTGAATGCTGTTGTAACTGGTCACTGAACAAGTGGATGTTAATGAAGACTACCTGTATATTTTTTTGAACAATTGGATTCTGTGCTGTAACAGAACATTTGATATTGTTTCATTCTCAACATTTTTTATCTGATTCCATGGAAAGTAAGAAAAAAGCTCCAAATTAATTAGTTATAGGTAGTGTTGACTTAATGACAATTGTGCCCAAAATTTCTGTTACTAAGCAACACAGTTAAGTGAATTTTGTCCCGTTTTATGACCTTGCCACAGTTTTAAGTGAATCTGGCTTTCTCATTGCTGATTAGAAAGTTGCAAAAAGTGATCACATGACCCCGGAGCGCTGCAACTAGTTGCCAAGCATCCAAATTTTGATCACATGATTGTGGGAAATTCTGCAGTGGTTGTAAATGTGAAAAACAGTCATAGGTCATTTTTTTCAGTGCCATTACAACTTTGAATTGTCACTAAATAATTGGTTGTAAGTCAAGGACTATCTGTATAGATCAGTGATGGCAAACCTTTTAGAGACCGAGTGCCCAAAAACTGGCCCCGCCCCACTCCACCCCCTGCCTTGCCCCTGCTCCACCCCCTCCAGAGCCCGCTGCAGATCGCCCAGCAGCGCCATGGCAGCCACGCCCTCTGCCTGCGTCCCGCAGCATCAACTGTGCACAATGGGGCATGAGGGCAGAGTCTTGTCTACTCTGTCTGGCTGCCATATCCTTGGCTGCACTGTTCCGCGTGGGCCTCACTCGGGGGCGACTCTCCTCCAGGAGGGCTGCTGGTGAGGAGGGGGTCATGGGAGAGGCAAGGCTGGGGCAATGGTACCCGTGCCATAGGTTTGCCACCACTGATAGAGATAGTGCCATATTTATAACTTCTAGGAATGATTTCTCAGCATTTGTATACTATGTATACTGTTAGATAGCTTGTATTTGATATGCACCAGGTGAGATATGTTTGCTGTTTACTAATACTTATCTGCTCATTTCTGCTGTAACATGGTGATACTGCTATAGGTACTATAGATATGCATTTGGCATGTTATTCTCTCTTGTGTCAGTTGGTTTATAAAATGGTAATTATTTATACATGCAAATGATACAAAAATAGTAATTATTTATACATGCAAAAATGGTAATTATTTATACATGCAAAAATGGTAATTATTTATACATGCAAATATTTTTAAATTGTATGTAAAATCTTCCCATAATTTTTTTATGCTATTTTATCCACATGTACTAATGTATAGTTGAAAGTAACCTGTGGAATACAATCTCTTGTTTGTTCTAGTTACTGCTATAGGTTTGACTACACTTACTGAAATTATCATTATATGGCAGAATTATACACAAAACTGTGAATTTGGCATAGAACAAATACACTTTAAAGATTACTAAAGTAAAACAAACTTAAACTCAGTCACATACACATTACGGTGTACATAGTTACAGTATGCAACAGGACCTAGTTGAGTCACCTGTTTCATACTGAAAAACTAGAGAGCATATAACTCTGGGAAAAAATTTTTTTTACAACAATCTGTTGTGGAAGGAAAACAGTTAGCATTTTGTTATAAGCATAATAAAAGCTGACTACATTCTGGAGTGATTCTTTTCATATCCTAAGAAAAATGGCTGACTACTTTTAATTTTTGGAGAAAAAAAATTATGTATGTTATTGACTTCCTATGTGGAACAACCACCTAGAGTTTGGATTCCAAGCAAATTACCAAGAGGCTTGTCCTAATGCTCATTTTTCCTTCCCATTTTTATATGAATACAACTGCTTCAAAATAAAACCATTTCCATCCGTGTTTTATACTTTGGTTTCATGCCATTGGTCCATGCCATTGTAATTTTATCCTCAGATGCTTTTCAAAGGGATTCTCCCAAACTCTTAATTCATTGGATTGTTGAACTTGAACAAGAAGTTGCAAGATAGCCTTTTAGTTGCATTATTTCTTTGGACTTACCAAGTACATTCCTTAGTGGAGAATCCTTAAATTTGGGTAAGTTATAGGAGTGGTTTAAAAAGTATATTTATGAGACATGTTGCATAATTAAAAGCAAGATACACTCTTGCATCCAAGAGGCAGAGACTTGAAAAGAAAATAACGTTACATCTAAAAATTTCATAACTTTTTTTTTAAGCCTGTAGTAATTTACTGTCATTAGGCTAAGTATTTACTGGTGCTGCTGGGTTAATGGGATGTGTGGATTTCCTGAGGTAACAGTGATTTGGTGCCATAATGAGTTTCTTAAACAGCAAATGTAATGTTCAATTTCTTTTCTTACAGATGGAAGAGAAACGGCGAAAATACTCAATCAGCAGTGATAACTCAGACACCACTGACAGTAAGACTTTTTATTCAAGCCTTACAATAAGATAACCAAATGATTCCCCTTCAGCAGGAAAAGAATTTGAATATTTACTTGCAGACAGTTAGGGAAACTACATGTTACGGGTAGTCCCTAGACAATGAATTGTATACAGGGATTACTTATAAATATATTTACATACCTGTCAATGGAAGTCTTGGAACTACTTGTCTTTCTGTTGTGAATAATGTAGGCTAAAGTAGGCCAAGCTGATGGCAAAACCTTGGGAGTTATCTGGTAGCTCTATTGCCTGACAATAATTACAAGGATGGGGATACTGAAAGTAGAACATGCTTCAAAATTATTCTCCAAACCAAAAAGTTTGTCAAAAAGTGTATATCTTCTGTCATTCTCCATTTCTTACTTCGCTGTATCCAAGTGACATTTTGATACCCTACTTCTACTACTACTTCTTGTTAAAACCTAAGCCCTAGATGAAATCCTTGATACTTAAGAACTAATGTCTGAGTTTGGGCCGTTAAAACAAGCCAGAGGCTGCAATAGTGTAGTTAAGACCAAAGGAACTGGCTTTGGACTTGTAGCAGGCATGGAACTTACTTTGGCTTGCAAATGCTATGTAAACTTGTCAATAAACCCTTATCTACCTTTAAACAAGGTACAAGGTGGGACATTTAGAACTACATGACACTGTGAAGCTGCTATCTGTTCTTGGAAAAGGGAGGTTGTAGTTAGGTTTATGATTACCCTGTAGTTAAAATATGACCTGCTCTGTAAAAAGCAGAGCCAGCAGATATGAGGCAGGGCTATTTAAAGAGTGTTTTAAAAGGTTGTGTTTTTTAAGTCTGCAGGCAAAACTATATTTTGAGGACTACTGTATTTTGGGGGTGCTGCAACACTAAAACAGGGAGAGGGGAAAGTCCTTCCTGTGGGCACCTGCTTTGTCCTCAGCTGGTTCTGCTGCTGCTTCAGGCAGAGGAAACAATACTCAGCTGGATGACTCTATAAATGTACACACGTAGATGGCCTTATTGCCACTTTCCCTCAGGTCTCTGAGAGTCACAATTTCAGGAAAGATAACACTACTGAAAAGAGTCAGATTTGCCCAGAGAATGCTACCTGTTAATATTCTCATTCTCTCTCTCTCTCCCTCCCTCCCTCTCCCCCCCCTCTTTCTCTTTCTCTCTCTTTCTTCTACCTCTCTTTCCTCTCCCTCTCTCTCTTTTTCTTTCTCTCCCTCCCTCCTCTTTCTCTTTCCTCTCCCTCTCTTCCCCCTCCCTCTCTCTCCATCTCACACACACAGAGCATATATTAAGATCTGAGATGTGAAAATTTAAGATAAAAGATTAAAAACATTTACCTTTCTGTGTTATTTCCATATTTATTTGAAGGTAAAGGGTTTTTTTAAGTGGTATAACACTATGCATGATTCAATGTGGAAAAAAATCCTTCCCAGTTAAGATTAATATTTGATTTACAGGTATCTGGGTGGAGAGTATTTTTGATAATTATAGGGCAGCGTTACTCTGTGCAATTTTGGCACTACTTGCAAATTGATTAAATTTTAAAAAATAATATGCATAAATAGTTTGTTAGTAAAAAACCTTCTGTTCATTAGAATACAAAGGCACAGCATAAATCAAATATCACCTAAAATAAAAATTGCTCTGGTCTTAAGTTTTGCAAATGCTTTGGTTTAAAATTCTGTTTGTTCATAAAAACCATCAAATCTTGTAGTTCATTGTGATAGTTGGTCACCCAGCTAGAAACTGGGAGACTGTGAGTTCTGGTCTTGCCTTAAGCCAGCTGGGTGACCTTGGGCCCGTCCAAGAAAACTGCAGGGACTTTCAGGACAGTAATCAGGAGTCAACGCTGACTTAAAGTCACGCACACACAACCAAAGAAATGACCTCGTCATGTTCTTCATGGTACAACTTTTATATCTTTTTGGGGTCAAATTGTGTATTAACGATGCTACCAATAAGGTGATTTGTAAGACTTACAGTAGATTCAAGAAGGGATTGATATATGAGTTAGCCTTCTTAACTAGAATAAAATGTTATCTACTGAGGTTTGAAAGCAAAAGGAGCACATGCAATTCCTTATGACAGTAAAGAATGTTCAAGTTTTTCCAATCTTCACCATGAGGATTATGGGTGTGAGAGTCCTTATTTGCACTGTTACAAGAATAGTGGTTTTTTAAAAAAGAAATTACAAGGTAGAGATATCATTAGCCCTGCAAAGACACAAAGCAAAATCTCTAGAAACAAAATGAAACAACACTAAAAAAACAAATCCTTATAGCCTCTGTTGAAATACAGGGAGCCCCCTACCAGTTGTCTTAAAAATCCTTACTATTAGGTAGCTCCTTTAAAATGAATTAAGGGAGAATAATGTTATTATGAACAATTAATAATCTATGGAAGTCTAGAACTTATACAGTCCATTTGTGTGGATACACAGCACTTCTACTAAATTACACTCATCAAGAAAACTATCTAGGCAATCTCTGAGAATCAGACACAATTGAATGGAAGAGGAAAGAAGACACTTGAAGAGGTAGGCTTAAGAGCTCTTGCTAGACTTCTTCACTTGCAGTCTTCACGTTTTTCACTTCATCTAAACATTGTCATGGTAGTTACTTGATAAGTATTCAAGCTGCATTTTTTTCTTTAAGCTACTCTAAAGCAGAGAGGATAGAAATACGTTTTTTTTAAAAAAATAAAAATGGATTTTAGTTTAAATGGAATGCTTTATTTTGATAAAAAAAACTTTGCTTAACATTTTGTAAAACTATTATATAGCACAAAAAGTAATCCTGAATAAGACTTCTAATTATATTTTAAATTACTTGCAAATATGGATATGGACCAGAAGACTTGATAACCAATCTCTTTTTAAAACTGCAAAGATAAGAAAAGCAATGAACAAAGAATTCAAGGTGATGGGAGCAGTATGCTTAAAACTTGCTGATTCGTGATTCTAACGCAGCAAAACAAGAAGATCCTTCAGACACACACCACATAAAATGCAATCACAGTTGATTTTAGCAATAATCAGATTATATAATTTATAAAAGTGGGCTGCAAAATTCTTAACTACCGCCCAACGAACTAATTGTCAGGGTTCACTGTATATTTGAACCCCACTTGAAAATCAAATATACACATTGTGACTTAGCACGGTGTATGAACCCAATTGTATATCAATATAAAAAAGAAATGATTTGAGGCCATATTCCTCTCTCTCAAGCATAGTTCATTGTATGAAAAACTTGGGCAACTAGCTACAATCTGTGAGTGCAGAAGAATGGTGGTTGATGGAGGAAATCTACCTAACCCGCATTTTTCTGCTTAATATTAATTCATTCCATGGAAGAGATAAACCAAGGAAAGCAATTTCAAACTCACAGGTGCAAAACGTAAAGCTGGGAAATATGAACTGTATAAAAATGCTAATTTAACCCAGTTTTTACTACTCCAGTTGATAGCAGGACCCAGTTACATGAAAAAGATACATGACTGTATGTTCATAATTACAAAGCAAATTGAAGGAGAGTGGAAGTAATGTTTGAGTTCATAAATGCAGTCTAACTTACAGTTAATTAAACTGCTTTATTTTGTGAATCAGTACAATTGCTGGCTTTGCAAACTACACAGAACTATAACCTAACTGCTCTGGTTAGGTTTGCAAATAAACTGAGCTAATAAATTAGCTAACAGTATTTTAGTTTAACATGTTGTGTGAACCCAGACAGTGAGGGATTGAGAACTCCTGAGACCCATGTTATGTACCCCACAATCATTTTTACTTCTCTGGGATAGCCAAGTAAAAAACTAAAATTTGAGTAAAAAGAATTTAAAAATTCAAACAAGTTTTGAGTTTTCCATCCTTTACCTAGTGATGGGTTATATGTCTCTAAATTTATATTTAATTATTTTCTCTAAAATGAAAATAAACATTAAAATAATGTGTGTCACCCACGGTCCCAGCATTCCCATACAAACAAATCAACCTTCTGGTCTCTGGAACAGTTTCTGCTCTCTTTTGTGGGTCTAGCAGCAAAATGATAAAGCAACAAATAATTGTCTGTGTCCATCTTGAATGCCCTATTTAGAAAGAAATACCTGAGTCCAGATTGGATTTGGGGAAGTGATGAGTAAATTTGCTCCGTTTTCTCTAATAAAGATGGTGATTATAAATTTAATAATTCTGTAGCCAAGAAAAAATGAGAAGAAAAACAAGGAACCATTTTAAGCCATGCAGATCAGGAGGTTTGTGATCACTCCATAGTAAATGTTTATAATTCTTTGGGAAAAAGGAATGAAAGTAGCAAGCATTCCATAGAAGAAATTACCTTTGTGGACATGAAGAGAGCTGGACCTGAAGGGAAGGGCTGAAATGGGGAAATTCAGAGCTGAGAAAGAAGATAACAGAAAGAGGGTTACAAACTGATATTTAAATGCCAAAAGGACACTAACAGTGCAGTCCATTTATTGATTTGATTTATTTATCCCTTTTGTTCAGAAGCTTCAGATGGTATGTGTAATATGCGGACTTAGTGTCAGATTTTGACAAATTGAAATTGCTGGCAATATTTTGGTATTCCATGCTGAAATCTGTAAGCATTTGAGATTTGTGTACTGCAAACAACATTCAGTTTGCAATTAAACTGTCCTTAATTTAAGGCTTGGTTTATCTTTAACCTAATTTATTTTTCTTCAAAGGTCAAACAACATCAACTTCAAAATGCTCCAAAATTCCAAGTACAAAATCTAGTTGGTCAAGGCAAAAGGAGAAGAAACCCTCAGAGGTTTGTTGAATTTTTAAAAACTTCTTAGACCCTCTTCTTGGCATTTTTTTTATAATTGTTCAGTTATAAACTGCACTCTAACAAGTGCATGGGTGCAGAACAAAGAAAGTAAATAGGGGAAGTAAATTTGATTCAATTTAAATTAAATTTCGTATAATTAAAATGATTCGTCATGTGCCTATTTTTCCCCTTAAGCCATTTTAAAATTACACAGATAGGTTTGCATCTCAAGTTTGCAGTCTTGCCTTTGAACTTTCCTTCCAACTTCTTGTTCTTGTGCTAGACTTCAATTATTGTAAGATCTAACTAGCATAAGGAATCTGAGGTGATGGCTAGTGCCTTTTCCCTCTCTAATTAATCACTAAGGAGAAAGCTAGATCTGGCACAAGTAACTGCAGGCTTCATGCAGAATTTGTCACAGCATTTAAATTATTTTAAGAAAACGTTTGGTACGTGGAATGATCTATTGCAGGCTATGTATTGGTATCGGTCCATGGCCTATTAGGAAATGGACTGCATAGCTGGAGGTGAGCAGTGGGTGAGCAAAACTGAAGCCATCCCCCCTCCAGCCTGTGGAGAAATTGTCTTCCATTAAACTAGTCCTTGATGCCCAAAAGGGGACCGCAGATCTATTGGACTGATTATAAGCAGTCAGAAGACTTCTAGGTTGAAGTAATGGGGTATGTAAAGAAAATCATTTATAGTACCGCAGTGTTGACTGCGAGGAGTTTGATCCTGACTGGCTCAAGATTTTCATCCTTCCGAGGTTGGTAAAATGAGGAACCAGATTGTTGGGAGATATATGTTTACTCTGTAAACCGCTATGAAGCAATATATAAATCTAAGTATTATTGCTATTGCTGTTTAAGTAGAGGTCTTTAAAATGTATCTGAGGGAACTGACATTATAGAAGGAGCTTTCACAGCAGCTTCTATGTCTCTGAGCTCCATTCACCATTTGACTACAGTATCTTGATGAACATCCTTCCCAGACCCCAGTTTAGAGCTATTGTGCACTTTACCACAAAATATATTTGCTTTCCCTTGTATTTTATTAGTTTATGTCAGGTAAGGAAGACCTACATGTAAAGGCTCAATTAAACTAATTTACTGCTAAGAACCTATGCACTGGAATCTTCCCAACTAAGACCAGCCCTGGTAAGAGTTAGAGAAGGGTCAGTGGCACTCAAGGGGATGGGGTTGTTCTTGTCTCTCTTTTGGCTACGTAGGAATTCTAGGGTGAGCCCCCTTTTCTCTCTTACCTCAGATTCTATCATCCCTTCTCCTATATCTTAAAATTTATCAAGCTGCCCTTCTGCAGTAAACAGACAGTTCTCAGAGCAGGATGCAACAATGACAATTCAAGTATCCGCTTAAAAATTGAGGTTGAAAATTTGGGAAAGATACTTTTGCCTTCTGAAACTATATAAGGATTGGGAAGTGGGGAAGATTATAGGGAAGAAAGGCTGTTGTGGTTGCCATCCTCTTCCAGGCTGTGAAATTATCTCCAGATGCCCAAACATGTAGTGCTAGCCCAAGATATTTGGTTGCCTGAAGTAGATTTCAAATGCCTCCTCATCGTTTTCAAATTGGAGGCATTTTTGGAAGTACTGTTGCATCATTCAAGCAATAGTAGCTGACATTATTTCAGCCTTCTAAAAATCAGTTTGGTGTCATTTCTCCTACAGTATCTGCCCATTCTGAGCATTTCAGCAGGTTTCAGGTTCTGTTTGTCCAGTAATAGCAGTAATAATAATTTATTAAACTTCAATTCCACCCAATGCCCAGTGCTTAAGTGGCTCACATCACTCAAACAAATCACAAAAAAGATCAACGGTGGCAAGCATGATGAAGTGAGAGGTCACACTCTCCTTTAACAAAGGTTTGGCTGAAGAACGAATAACAACAACAACAATAATAATAAAGTTGGAAGGGACCTTGAAGGTCATCTAGTCCAATCCCCTGCTTAGGCAGCAAACCCTATACCATTTCAGACAAATGGCTATCCAGTTTCTTCTTAAAAACTTCCAGTGTTGGAGCATTCACCACTTCTGGAGGCAGGGTGTTCCACTGGTTAATTGTTCTAACTGTCAGGAAGTTTCTCCTTAGTTCTACGTTGCTTCTCTCCTTGATTAGTTCCATCCGTTGCTTCTTGTCCTGCCTTCAGATGCTTTGGATAATAACTTGATTCCCTTTTCTTTGTGGCAGCCTCTGAGATATTGGAACACTGCTATCATGTCCCCCCTGGTCCTTCTCTTCGTTTTAAATAACAGCAGAGTGGGGACATCTGGATCTCAGGGGAAACCTTGTTCCAAGGGGCAGGTGCTGCTTCAGCGAAGGTGTTTTCCGAGATCACTGATCTCCAACCAAGTCTGAGGCATATATAGACTGGGGAAGATTGGTCTAAGGCAGTGTTTCCCAAACTTGACAATTTTAAGGCATGAGGACTTCAACTCCCAGAATTCCACAGCCAGCAACGGTGGCTGTGGAATTCTGGGAGTTGAAGTCCACATGCCTTAAAATTGTCAAGTTTGGGAAACACTGGTCTAAGGGCAGTTTTACTCATTACAGCAACACATCACAAACATTTTTTAAAAAGAAAAATATCTTTAAGACTACAGGTAGTCCTCACTTAATGACCAGTCACCTAATGACTGGTTAAGGTTACAGCAGGCCTAGGCCAGAGGTTCTGATGATCACACAAGCACAAACACACACACCAGTCACACGATCACATTTTGAGTGCTTGGCAACCAGCTCGATTTTGTAGACATTTGGAATGATCCATGGTCACATGAATACAATTTTCAGTGTTTACTTTTGCGCTCTGACAAAAAGTGGCCATAGAAAAAGATGAGTTCATTTAACAACTGCAGTGTTTGCTTAATGACTGAAGTGTTCGCTTAACAACTGTGGTGTTGGCTTAATGACAGCAGGTCATAAGAATCAGGTGGCCTACTTAACAACTACCATGAATTATGACTGCAAATCTGGGCTCAGTTACAGGCACTCTTTAAATGCACATCTAATCTGCATTTTTCTGACAATTTCAGAAATAGGCCAAAATTGAAAAAGAGTCTGCTATGCACCAACTTTGGTTTAAGTGGTTTATGACATAATGTATGCATATCAAAGTCAGCTGCAGTAAATAAAGTGAGAAAATGTGCACGTTTCAACCCAAGTCAGCAGTAATGCTTTGTACTATCCCTGCCATGAGCAGTTCGTTTTAAGAGGATGGTTAGTTATATGCGTTTTTCCAGGCTTCTTGCAAGCATATGACGCATAAAACATCCAACACAAGCCTCCAGGGAGATGAGATGAATCACTCATCACAGGATGAAGGAGAAAGAGTTTGGCTCTTTTAACTCCTCAAGGTTGGGCAACAGTTTCCTTTGGTCATCTGAGGTGTCAGGCTTCACGTCTCTAGGAAATACAACTTCTTAGAATCATGTTCCAGAAACTGCAGAGCAAAAGAACATAAAATTATTGCTGTTCTTTAATAATGCAGGCTGAGGACATTTATTTTGTAATTCATAGAAAGAACTGCTTCTTCATGCTGAACTTAAAAAAACCACTACTTTAAATGCACTTGTTTGTTTGTTTTTCACTCCTTCATTCCTGTAGCCACCCATTTCAAACAAGTGATTCTTGGTGGCTTACTTATTGCTGTAGATCATGCAAGAGCATGTTATAAATGCATACACAGTGGGTTTTTTTTCTAATATTGGCAAATATAGTAGAAAGAATATTTATCCTTATTTTTTTAATTTTTAGAAATTCTCCAATTACCTAATTAATGAAATTACCTAACAAGTAATTGCAGTTTAGCAGCACATTCAAATAGGGTTCCCTTAGTAAAGGAAGCATTTGTGGAATGCTTCTTGTCATGTTAGACATCATTCCCAAAAGTTTTTGAATTTGCAGATGCAGATTTTTGATGTGCACGTATGAGTGTGCACGGATTCAAATCCTTTATTCTAGTTCAGCTAAATTTGTTCTGTTTCTGCGATGAAAATTAAGATCCAAGCCATTTGGTGGAAATTCGTATAAATCTATGAAGCAGAATAGCATTATTTTATCTTCTTCATAAAGTCTTGCAATTGGAAGGAACCGCTGGAATCATCTATGCCAGTCCTCTGCTGTGCACTGAAAACCCATTGAACTATGCTCAAGTAGTGACTCCTTTTCATTAAAACTACCGGAGATGGAGAGTCATTTCTTCTGTAGGTAGACTTTTTCACTGTCATACACTTCATACCATCAGGAAGGTTTTCTTTATATCTAAATTAAATAAATGGTGTAGCTTAATATCCGTTATTTCTTGTCCCAGAATAACAATGCAAAATACCTCTTGACTATCTTCCCTATTGCACTGTTTACCTCAACTACTGATGCAGAATTTCTCTTTTCATTTCTCCAGATGCGAAATGCCACATTCCTTCAACATGTCCTCAGAGCATGTCCTCAGATTAATATCATTTTTTTTAACCTATTGTAACCTGTCCATATCCTTCTGGAAATGCGATACACGGAATCATTACACAATACTCCAGAGGTAGTCTCAACAGAGAATAGAGAATAATAAGGACTTTATGCATGTTTGATGCAGCACTTCTTCTAATGTAGCAGAACTTGTTAGCTCTTCCAACAGCTTTGGGACCTGGGAATTTGAAGGCATTCAGATTAGCTAGAAATCAGTGTTTCTCAACCTTGTCAATTTTAAGGCATGTGGACTTCAACTCCCAGAATTCCACAGCCAGCAATGCTGGCTGTGGAATTCTGGGAGTTGAAGTCCACATGCCTTAAAATTGACAAGGTTGAGAAACACTGAGCTAGATCTTTTACCATTTCTTTGCTGACCTGCACTCTTCCCTGTTTCAGTTTTTCCCTGTCTGTGCTGCTTAAATCATCATTTCCTTTGGATGTAAAGATAAGGCAAAGTAGATGCTGAGTTCCTCTGCTTTGTCTTGGTCACTTGTTAAGATTTCTCCTTTTGGATTA